CACAAACCCGTCCCTGTGGCCCTGAGCTGCATCTGTTGGCCCCTCTGGTGCCCGCCTCCCCTGTTCTGTTATTGCCTTGCTGTCGCAGTGACCATGTGACCCATGCTGGGCTGAGCAGTAGTTTCCGCAGGGAGGGCTGAGGGGGGCTTGTCACCCTGGGTTTGGGGAAGTGGGCAGAGCGGGTATTACACACACACACACACACACACACACACACACACACTCTCCACTGTCGGGACCTAGGGCCTCCCCTACCTCTGAGCTCTCGATGCTGCTACATCTGCCAAATGTTCCCTTTTCCCAGCTCCAGCATGGTCCCCCAACTGGGACCTACACCGCCCCACTGCCCGCCAGGCTGCCCAGGCTGTATTCGCCGCATGTTCTTCTTCGGTCTAGTTCTCATTTTCTGGAATTCAACAAAAGCCTACTTATGCCTGTTTCCATTATGGTTAAAATATTTAAAAATGGACTCAACCACCAGAAAGAAAGTTAATTTGTATACTTAGGAAACCAAGTCTAACATGAGAAAACCTTCAGTGAGATTTGCACTGTGGTTACTGGCTGAGGGATTATGGCATTGAAGGACAAGGGCAACAGCCAGCAGATGAAGTGGTTCAACAGGGGAAGGGGCATTTTGATGGTTCTGGAATATTTTAGAGAAAGGGATATTTGGATGGTTCTGGAAATTTTTTGAGGAAGGGATAGTTTGATGGTTCTGGAATTTTTTCAGATCTCAATTCTTTTGAGGCTACAGGAGACAGCAGTCTAGGAACATATTAACCCATAATGCTGCCAAAGTTCACCCGTTTGTAATCATTGCAAGATACCTGACCAAAGGTCTCATGCAAACAACAACAGCGTAACCTCGTTGCCTTGGAGAACCACCTCAGAGCTGACTCCCCAGCTGGTTCCAAGGCTGAAAATCACACAGGAGGCCAGTGCATATCTTTCTCCCATGGAGCTGCTGAGGAATTCAAACCAACAGAGAGGCCTTTGGGTTAGCAGCACAATTCCTATGGACAAGGCCTCCAGAGCTCCCTCTGGCTAGAGCTAGCATGTGAAAACAGACAGATGAAATGCTGTAGAAGGGCCTGAGTCAGTGCAGCAAAACCTAAAAGAAATTGAACCCAAGTCCCTGGTCAGGAAAGCTCCTTGACATGTGGGTGTGGGACGGTCAAGACTCACGGATAGTCTTAAGGAATGCTAGGTCTGTAGAGACTGAAGGAAACAGAGCCTTTTCTAGAAACAACACGGTTACAGTGGGCCTTCCCCAAGAGACAGCACCATGAGTTCAGACTTTGAGTATTCTAAACTATAAGAGAATAAATTTCTGTTAGTTAGAATAAAAAAAAGAATAATATAAATGGTGGCAGCGTAAAGGGAAGAGTTGAAATTGTTGTCCAAGTCTTTCTCTCAAAATTATTATGTATATTTTTATCAATGGCTTTATTTTCTCACTAGTTATAAAAATTATACATATTATAAATATTGCACATATAATATATGCATATTACTATACATATAAGTGAACTGAGTCCTGTAAAATAATATAATAATATAATATTTTAATAATATATATTTAATATAATATAATGTAAGACCATTATTGTAGACATAGAAAGGTAACTAGTAAAATGGATTTGAGGATCCAAGGTGGGGAGGGTAGGAGCAGAGGGCTGAGGATGGACAAGGATGTAGTCAATAGGGTCACACAATTTGACGGGTGCAGGGAGAGGTGGGTTAAAGGAAATGGGAAAGATGCAGTGTGGAAAATAATGTATACAAACTTTGTAAGTAAACCAATGGAAAAGAAAAAATTTCTTTAACAAGAGTTATACATATTGGTTGTAAAAGACTGCAAGGAGAGAGGAAAATATTTAGAATGGCTTAAAAATCATTCATGCTGGTCCACTCAGGGAGAATTCCCAGCTACCCAGCTAATCTTTTTTGGTAACTTACTCTAGTACCCTCTCCCCTTAGTGGATATAACAGACACCTGTATGCATTTTCAAGCAAAAGGAGTGCCATGTTATTGTGCTATTGACTCATAGCCTTTTTACATTTAAAAATAGGAATGTGTTCACAAAAAAAATTACATTTACTTTTTATAGCCATATAACATCATTAACTAGAACGTCATCATATTTTTTTATTTAGCCTTTCTGATACTGGTGGACATGTTTCTAATTTTTGCCATTATACATGATAATGGGATAATTAGCTTCTTTAGTTTTTTTAATATAAGACTTGCTTTAAAGAAAAACAGAAAAAAATTAATCTTTGGAGTCTTGGGTATTTCAGGCATTTTGAGACCTCGCATGCCATTTAGAAGGTCTCTGAGTTCCCTATGTAAAAGATTGGTTGTATTGGGGATTGTTTCAAATGCACTCAGTTTCCAATGGAGTATGGATATTTGTAAAGAAAGGGGATGTATTTCTCTTGAAACGGACAATTCTCTGAGTGAGTGATCTGGTGTGGCTTAGTGGTAAGGAGTTACACTGCTAACCCAACGACACTTGGTTAGAATCTAGGAGCTGGACCAGTGGGGAGAAAAATGGGCAGTCTCTTCCCATGTGTTTTACTGTCTCTAAAAGACCTCTGGAGGGTTGACTATGAGTTGATTCTGACTTGACAGTCCACAGCAACAGCATGCGTGAAAGGACATCATAATGGAGGGTCACAGAAAGAGAGGAAGACCCTCAACAAGGATTGTCACAGCGACTGTAACAATGACGGGAACATGTAACAGAGATGGAGCAGGGTAGGGCAAGGTTGAGACCTGTTGTTCAGAGGGTAACTCTGAGTCATCGTCAACTTGACCTAAGAAGATGGGTGAATGGGAGCAACTGAGCACTCCCAAATGATGATGTCTTGTTGTTCAAGGGAACCACGGGAACAATGGCAATAACGGAGCCACTGGCCATGAAGGAGCCAAAGGTGAGAAAGGAGACAAAGGAGACCTGGGGCCAAGAGGGGAGCGAGGGCAGCATGGCCCCAAAGGAGAGAAGGGTTATCCCGGCATTCCACCGGAATTGCAGGTAAGCCGCCTTTCTCCCATGCCAGGGGACTGCACGTCACTTGCCCCAGTCACCAAATTAAAAACTCACTGCTATAGCCAATTCAAACCCATAGACCCTACCAATAAGTTTCTGAAGTTGTGAATGTAGAAGCATATTGCCCATCTGTTTCCTGTGGAGTGTTGGTGGCTTCAACAGGCTAGCTTATTATAACACTCTGCCACCATTGCTGCCTGCCATGGTTATCAGGGCCCAGAAATCAGAAGGCTGAAGAGCTTTCCCAAAGCCCACCAAGTCTTCTAAATGAACAAGTCTTAGTTTGTTCATCTGCAGACATGATGTTTGCCTAAGGCCTGTGCTATTCAAACAATAGAGAGTTCTGAGATTACTCTTAGGGAAAACAGACATTTATTCAATGCTGCACTGCAGTCCCACAAGGCACGAGGTTCAAATCCACCAGCTACTTTGTGGGAAAAAGATAGACAATTTCCTCCCATGTAATTTACTGCCTCTGAAAACTCGCTGGAGGGTCAGCTAAGAGTTTCGACTTGACAGTACACAACACAACAACTTTCATGGCCTAGTGGTAAAAAAGCTGCATTGCAATCTCTAAAGCAAGGGGTTAGAATTCCACCAGCTGCTCTGTGGGGGAAGGATGGGCAATCTCCTCTCCTGGAATTTACTGTCATTGAAAACCCTCTGAAGGGTCAGCTATGAGTCAGTTCTGAGTTGTTGATGTACAACAACAGCTGCCACATTAGATAAAATATAATGCAAAGCTAAATATAATGCTGAGTGAACTAATTCAGTCTCATAAGGACAAATACTGCAGAAGACCATTACTGTAAAAATAGAAGGCTAACTAGTAAAACACGTATGGGAACCCAAAAGGTGAAAGAGTGGGAACAGAGGAGTGAGGAAGAATCAGAGTGAAATCACAGGGCTCTACAATTTGGTGGAGGGAGGAAAGGGGTAAAGGAAATGGAAAAGATCCAGCAGGGACCTGAAAGGACAGGGTGATGGTGGGCACAGTCCAATGGTGGGTAATTTTATAAAACATAATGCATGGGAATGATTGTATTAAATGCAATGTGAATGAAGAATAGTGTGAATCACAATGTATACGAACTTTGTAAGCAAACCACTTTAAAACAAAAATTTTTAAAAGCCCAAAACTACATATTTTTTTCCCAAATGAAAAGACACTCCTGAGATAATTTTTAAAATGGATAAAAGCTTTGGCAATACAAATAGATTACCTTTTATATTTGTAAGTCAAAGATCTGCCTAGAATATTTTCTCCATTTTGTTACATCTGCACACGTATTGTTAATGACACTGGGTTGGCCCTTGTCTCACTGTGACCCTGGACACGGTGGAATTAAACCCTGCCCGATCCTATACCATCTCCAGGATTGATTAGGTATCAACCCTCAGGACTCTGTTCTTTCTCACAGTGATCTTCTATCAGTTTTCGAGAATAGAAACAGCAATGAGAGGAGACTGCTCATCCTTCTCCAGGGCCTACTGGTGGTCTGTGGTCCCCTGAGACACTCAGCCTTTGGGTCAGCAACTTGCTATGCGCTGGGCCATCAGAGCTGTCACATTGTAATCCGCTGGCTTTTCACTGGCTGATTTCAGATGGAGATTTCCAGACTTTTCTGTTTAGACTGTCTTAGGCTGGAAGCTCTGCTGAAACCTCTTTAGCATCATGAACTAAACCCCACTGCCATCAAGTAAGTCATTGCTCCTGGTGACCCTACAGGGTGAAGTGGAACTACTCATAGGATTTCTTAGACTGTAACGTCTTAAAAGAAGACTGCTTATTTCCCCCCATACACACACACACACACACACA